TGCGGTACATTCGATTTTGTCTAAATGTGCTGATTCTGATGCTGTTAGCCTGGTTCACTTTCTTTATCAACACAACACAGGATACATCCTAGGGACTAATCCTGCCGCTTTTCCGTCAAACCCAAATCTTCCACAGCAAACTCCCACGAAATGTAGACACCACAGAATGGCACTGTTTATGTTTCCAAGATAATATATCGGGAGGTTTTTGTTCGTTTGTCCTCGAACCACCAGCAGGTATCCATTTGGAGCTCTGAGTGAAATGTGTCTTAGACACTGCGCTCTGGACTTACATTCACATCGTCAGTGAATGAAAACAGCACCTTACAGGTGTGACATTATTGTCAAGTGCTACCAGGTAAATATTAAGCCACAGAATAACTTGACGTCCCTCCTAGGATACATGTTTGACAGATTGTAGTCTAATAAGTCATTCACAGCAGTTTAAATATGGGCAGTCGTTTGTAGGCAAATACCTAAAATCCCTTTTTGGCACAACAGCAGAAATACCGAGCGGAAGATCAACATGTAGAAAGTCATCTAACAGGTGAAAGGCAGAGAGCCTCAGGGACTAGACTGAACGTGGCTGCTTTTGCACCCAAACGTTCAAAAACTGCCAAACAGAATTTGGAACGTGTGGACAAACTGAGCCGGTCACAGCGTTTCAATCAGGATGGACCAAGTTTACCTTCTTGTGCACCGAAGACACCAAAAATGTCAAAGTTACTTTTGAATTGAATTTATTTATTTAATAATGCCGCTGAGCTCTCATACGGTGGTAGCAATAGCACGGTGGTGCTACTCACACGGTAGCACTTTATGACAATGTCACACAATTAAGCATTAGTCAGGTATTAGTAAGCACTTAATACATCATATATATGTCATGACTCCTCCTTAGTATGTCATTCATAAATACAGGCATGTTTGCCAATCTGTTACAGCATTTACAGCTATCAGCGCTGCTCGCAATAACCACAGTCATAATTATAGTCATAGTGATAAGTCTGTATTTAAAAATGGCATACTAAGGAAGAGTGATGGCATAAAAATCATGAATTACAAACTTACTAATACCTGACTAATGATTAATAGTGTGACATTATTATAAAGTGATACGATTTATCCGAGTGAAAAGTGCCTTTAACATTAAATGTGCCTTAAGTGAGATCTGAGAAAGAGAATTGCTCAAATACAACATCACAGGGCTATAAATATATTATAGATATATAATAGGTCGGTGATTCCTGAGATAAGGGACAAAACATGTTCGCCAGATAAAACCCAATTTTGGGGGTTAAAAATATGCATACAAGTGTTACCCCAACTGACTAAGAGACAAACCAAGGCAATGTTTACACAACAAAAGTATGATTTAGCATTTTTTATACATATATATTTATTTTAAATGGTACAATTCATTACCAGTACCTAAAAATCCATTCTCCAGAAGCAGGTGTGATAATATTAAAATACAGAAAAAAATTAAAAGTAATGTAAAATTAAACATCACGGCTCTCGTCACTAACCATTTACCTTATATAATATCAAAATATGCAATTGAAATTTTATTTTTACGTATTTTTTAAGTGATTAAAATCATGTCCAGAGTTTTTCTCAACACCATCTGATTTTTTTAAAAGTACAAAAAACTCGGGAATTATTGTGGGCAGCTTACACTCTGAGGACCCCTTTACCACTTCCTGTTTGATACTCATGCCATGAGGTCGTTTTATTTTTATTTCATTTGTGACACACCTTTAAAACTGTGTCACAACCACAGTGCGTCAACACCAAAGTCGATGAAATGCAAGATTTAATTATTGTTTTTGTGAAAAGAGCTTCATTTAGGTAGACTGTAGAGGCCGTAAGCAGCTGATGAAAAACAAGATGGCTTCTGTCAGAAAAACATGTGTTTTGAGAGAAAGTTGGGTATTTTGTCAGCACCATCAGGATTTTTGTCTGACGGTGTTGACCCTTTTTCTAATGGTGTTGACAGAAAGTGTACTATTCATCATTCATATTCATATTAAGTTATTTTTATTAATATTTCAGTCATATTACTTCCTGTGTATTTCACTGATATTTCTGCTTTACAGATGTGTCGAATATTATCGAATTTGCCATATCCTGAATCTCATTGTTTATGTATACATTATTAATCCTGTAATGCTTAGTCCTCTGCATTTAACCCATTCACTCATTCATGCAGTGGGCAGCTACCAATCCAGGATAGCCGCCATTCATTGGATTTGAACATTCAACCTTCCAATCATGTGGCATCTACTGAGCTATCTCTGCCCCGAGAGCTGGTCTTTAAGTGCTGATGTATGAATCCTGCTTCCGGACCCAAACTACTCTGTGTTTATTAAGCCTGTTGTGCTACTAAAATGTTTTAATGCTTTTTATCTTGTTCTATTTAATCTGAACAAGCCCCTAAAAACAGTCAGTGATCAGCCTAACCATCAGAAACCCTGCATTAACTTTTATCAGGTGGAAAAAAAGTTGGTGTTCATCCTCCAGCTTCACTGTGTTTATGCTAACATAGCTGTGTCGCTAGCAATCACGCAGCACATCACTATATAGCAGCTAGCCCAACTTCAGTAACCCGACAAACGTCACTGCTGTTTAGTTTTGTCTTCATTCATGTTGGAATGTAGGAGGAAACCAGCGAGCTAACTTCTAACTCACTGATCATTTTATTAAAGATGAAAGAATTTAGACAGTGATGCCACAGAGCTCCTTTGACTTTGGGATCTGCAGCCGAGTTTCAACCTGGATTATTGCTTAATACATAATTGTGTTGTGAATATTCATCCTTAATCTGTATAAATGCATATGGTTCAGAAAAATTATAGTAATTACAAGATGGTACATTTCAGGCTAGAATGGCAAAGGGGAAGCTGTCAGAGGAACGAAAGAGAAGGAACAGGGAGGATCAAAAAAGGAGAAAAAATTTACAGCCAGCCTGAGTTGAAGAAAGAGTTTCTCATAAAGGGAAAGATGGAGAAAGAGAGTGAAAGAGGGAAAAAGAAAGAAAGAAAAAGGGCAGAAGAGAAGGTTTTGGAAACAAGCACAGAGACGAAAGGAGAGAAAGTCCAGCAGCGTCTAAACACAACCACAGAGAACTTTAGGAATCAGCAGCAGGCGGCTGCTTGCTGGTGAACTATTAAGATGCAGAACTTGACGTGTGCAAAAACAGAATTGTTATGATGCGTCTTGTGATATTACAAAGGTTGTTAAGGTTTAATGGTCATTTTGAAAGAAATAATATCTTGTTTTCTACTAGTGTGTCACCACCGTCAGCACCTTGTCAACTCCATAATATGGAGTTTTTGTTTCTTTTTCTCTTTTGGAGAAACATATATTTTCCTCCCTCACGATCTTCCAATAAAAATACTCAATTTTCTCAATAAATGTGTAATTTGCATGCTACTAAATATGATTGTTTCTTATAGAGATTAAATACAAGCTTCTGAAAATATGTATGACTGTAACTCTAATAATAAAAAGCCAAAACCATCTTACTTTTAAACCTGGTATAATTACTTTGAAAACACATGTGCATAAGCAATAGAACAAAGAAGCTGCTAATAGTCAAAATAGCTGAAACAACCTCATTTAAAAAATATATATTTGCATTTCTTTGTGTCTGACGGTGTTGACAAAAACCTTGCACTTCTCCAGCAAAAACATAAATTATTAAAACATCTTACACCTGGGAGACCAAAACATGGTGAGACAGACACAACTTTGTGTAACAATTATATGTAAATGTGTTTTTGAAAAATCAAAAAATATATTTTAGAAAATTTAAACCTGTTTTGTCCCTAATCTCAGGAATCACTGACATATATTTTGAGTAGCCAAAGGCACTAATTTCATAACGGACTCATTGTGAGATTATCCAATGTTTCACAACACACAGAAGGTTTAGCATCTTTAGACTGATTTCAAGTAGGAAATACTTGCCTCCTTCTCAGTTAGCACGCCCTTCACCCCGTCCTCATTTCTACACATTTATATGTCAGTGTAAAGATGTAAAAACTCTGACGCCTCCTTTCATTCAGAGTTTAGTTGCTGGGATACAGTGAAGTGCAACATGTAAAGTTGTACATGTTTCTAGTCCTTCTCTAAAACAGCTGCTTACAGGTTTAGGCCACGTCACAGTTCCTCACAGTGGGCAGCTGAAAACAGCATGCTCCCAGTACAGATGCAGAATCGGAGTCCAGTTTAATTCATCCCATGCTCCCATCCGCGATTCAAGAAAACCCCAAACATCCAGCAGTGGCTGGGAATCCTCTGATCCTCACCTCTGATGTCCCTTTTCTGAAATGCTGCGTTACTTTTATTCCAGATGTTTGTGTCCCACAAAGGTTCTGCTTTTGCCTCGTCAGTGCACAGAATGTCCTCCCAAAGTTAAACCTTCTGGTTCTTCCTCTGAGCACTTCACACAACATTCACCCAAACACTTGTTTCTGTGCTCTGTCCAACATTCATTCATCATCAAGGTGGTTTTTTGGGAGACGAGCCTTTATGTTGGACTATCCGTCCACCCCGTCACATATGCAGTGGAGAGATCGTCGGAGTTATGGGTCTGTTGTGACCTGCTTGATAATTCATTGACGCACTCTTAATGTAATTTTGGTGAGCCGCTTACTTTTGATAGTTTCCAGGTTTTCTCCACGTGTGGATCCTGGCTCTGACTGTGGGCCTGTAAATCCTGTCAGGCTGATAGATGTCCGTCATCGTGTTCCTTGGCTGTTTCTTTAGATCGGGCCACAGCACGTCGCTCTGTGAGATCGTCACCTTTCACGTGAGACATTAATAAGACCTGGTCGTGGCTGATAACACTGAACTCGTTACTTTTCCCCATTAATAAAGTAACATTTAAAAACTGCATTTTGCATTTACTCGAGTTATCATTGTCTAATATTAAAATGTATCTGATGATCTGAAATGTGCATGATAAAAAAATAAGAAGGAGCAAATACTTTTTCACAGCACAGGAACTTTATTGCTTCTTGATGACGACCTTTTGTTTTGAACAGTCGGCGCTGTGGGAAAATTACTGAGTACAACAGTCTTCTATGTTATAAAGAAATTAAAGCTGAAAACAAATATGGCTAACATGACCTCTCATTGTCTCAGGAGGTTTAAATCAGATATGCAACAAAAACCTAGAAAAAGAACATTGAATTCCATGAACACTGGATATATGATGCAGAGTGAAGACTGCTGCATGTAAGGCAGGTGTGCAGTTTGTAGGCAAAATGAGATAATACTTAGACAATCACAGTAAAAATCATTAACACATTGTGATATATGGGGGGTACAGCATGTTGCAGCGTAAACCTTCTATGTGCCGCTAACCTGACGTCTGTGAGCTGATGAGTCCTGATCAGTAAAACCTTCAAACCAACTCATCAGCTTTCAGATACTTAAAGTGATCGTGACATACAGACTCCATAAATATAACAGAGGTGCTCTAATAATCAATCTACTGTCAATATTACATAATGATCTAAATCCAGAAAGTCAGAACAACGTAACAGGACGAAGGCCGTCACCACAGCATGAGTCTTCATCATGACAAAAACTGGGAACTTTTCTAACCACGTGTGTTTTCTTGTTGATGATGCGTGTCCAGCTTTGGGGAGTCTTCAAGCATCGCTCACAGGAATGAAGCTCACAGTTCATCTCCATCATCGGCTTCCAGCAGGGATGCACTGGCCTGTCTGAGAGCTCATACAGGAAGCTTCCTTTGTGTCGTTTTTTTATTCTCCTTGAACTTACAGCTCCGCATCACACCATCACTGAACGTCGACTAATGTGAGAAAACAGAAATGTCAATCTGACACACATCAGTGAGTACAGTATGGATATCAGTGCATCCCTGTGGCCAGCAAAGCACTACAAAAGACCACAGTGCATGCTTTAAGAATCAGAGCAGGACAGTGAAAACGTGCAGGCGCTGGAGCTGCAGTCATATTAAAACCCACACACACGCCACATGTGCATTACTACCAGTGTTAAAGAACGCACTCCTGAAGCCCAGTGTGTGGATCAAATATGCTCTCTCTGCTAATGAGGAAGCAAGCAGCCCTCCACAGCTGGATGTCACCTCTTCTTTCGTGATGGCAACAAATGGGTGTGCCAAAGTGAACATAAGCGTGAACTGAAATTTTGCAGACAGTCCGCCTTAATGAACAGCGCTCGTCTTTGGCACCGTCGAAACGAGAAGATGCTGGGTGAGTTACGACAGCAGATGTGGATGAAACGGTCTGAGCTTTGGGAACAAATGATTAGACGAAGGCAGTGCTGACAGACTGATATCAGCCAGCACTGGTGCTGTTAAGTGTTGACAACAACGTCTGAAGGCCACTGCGTGTTTCTTACCGAACGTGGCTCAGGTTCCATGAGGTTCTCTGCGTGAGAACGCACAGGAACCGAGACAGCGGGGACTCTCAGTGAGCGGATAATAGCAGCCAGTTTAGCAGCTTTCTACAACCCTGACCACAGGTCCTGACCTCATGCAGCAAACAGTCAGCAGACCAACATTAGATGGAGCTCAGGTTGCGACTGCCTGCATGCTCTGGAGCCCCGCTGTCAGCCAGGAAGACCTATCTGACGTCATTGAGTTGCCGGGCCACCGTCAGGATCTCCTTGGCTCCTTTGTTGAGCAGTAAGTCGGCCAGGTCGACGCCGAGCTTCTCGGCCTCGTCCTGGACGCTACCTGGGATCTTGTTGGCCGTGACTCCCACTCGCTGGACCTGCTCGTCCACCTTTTCTGAGCTCTGTGGCAGAAACGCACGTTATTATGAAAACAGGTTCCTATGTGCAACGAAGGTAACGTGGCAGAAACACAATGCACGCAGCTCTTACCTGGGTCCCCACAGCGATGCTGACCTGCATGGTTTCCTTCAGGCTGTTTGAGCCATCCAGACTGTATACCGCCCCCGTCAGGTACAGCTGCAAAAGCATACAGGATTTCTCCGGGTTACTCACACGTTCAAACAGCAAGCTTTTAAAATCAGATGAGAGCGGGCCGCTGCTGCAGAATCAAATAGGTACCAGTACAAGACTTGGTTTGTCTCCATATTCATGCGACTGCTAATGATTTAAGGATAGTGATCAGTCACAGTTAAACTTCTGATTATCATATCCCTGCATTTATAGTTCAGTCGTCTTGCAGAAGCCTGCTGAGGCCCAGCATGCAGCGCCCATCAGCTGTGACCTGAAGCACGCCACTGCATCAACAGAACCTAAAACTGTGAAGCCACAGCAGATACAACAGAGCAGTTTTCTTTGATGAGTTAAACTGAGCAGGAACCATAGCAGCTGTTTGATATCATCACTTGTGTATTAGAGGCCATCGTGGCTCAAGAGTTGGGAGTTCGCCTTGTAATCGGAAGGTTGCCGGTTCGAGCCCCGGCTCGGACAGTCTCGGTCGTTGTGTCCTTGGGCAAGACACTTCACCCGTTGCCTACTGGTGGTGGTCAGAGGGCCCGGTGGCGCCAGTGTCCGGCAGCCTCGCCTCTGTCAGTGCGCCCCAGGGTGGCTGTGGCTACAATGTAGCTGCCCATCACCAGTGTGTGAATGTGTGCGTGAATGGGTGGATAACTGGATATGTAAAGTGCTTTGGGGTCCTTAGGGACGAGTAAAGCGCTATATAAATACAGGCCGTTTACCATTTATTATTGATACTTGTGGCCATTAGTATAAAATATGAGTATTTGTCACTTGGTGCCAATAGTCTGTTGAGACACAGCAGAGTGGCAGGAAATACTCCCACAGCTGCTACGAGTGGCAGATAAAGTGTGTACAGGGCTGGATCTGCAGCTAACAAGAGCACGATGTATAACAGTGCTGAGCCACAGTCACTAACACTCTTACCTGGGAGTCCTTTACTTGGGTGTGCACAGCCACTGGGACACTACAGCCACCCTCCTGCAAAAATAACACACAAATAAATGATAGAGTCATCACAGATTCACACAAGTGTGTGTGTGTGTGTGTGTGTGTGTGTGTGTGTGTGTGTACCAGGCGTCTGAGGAAGGCTCTTTCAGCTATGCAGCGCAGCACAGTGTCAGGGTCATGAAGGATGGACACCATCTCTAGGATGTCTGCATCTCTGGCCCGAACCTCCACTGCCAGGGCCCCCTTAAAAACACACATGCACCTTATTGGGAGCCATGAACAACCACCCGTCCTGTGGATTCCTGACCTTTCCACTCGGCAGTTCCTACCTGTCCCACAGCATACATACAGTCGTCGGGCTCCAGGATCTACCAGGGGGAAAGAATCACACTGTAAGACTAGAAGTGCCACCCACATGCTGCATATAACCACACAGTGTACCTGGCTGATGCGGCTTTCCCAGCCCATCCTCCTGAGGCCGGCAGCCGCCAGGATAATGGCGGCAAAGTCATTTTTCTCATCCAGCTTCTTCAGCCGTGTATTCAGGTTCCCACGCTGAACACTGCAGCTCAGGAAAAGCCCACCAAACCCAGAAACTGCCCACTCAAAACCCACTGGATAATGGCCGTCATCATCGTCAACACAAGCGCAGTGTGATCACAGTTTGGGACTGTTAGCAGCTGGATATATTTCCTAAACATCAGCTGATGTTAGCCTCTAGCTTGGCCTCTTTGTGTGTACTTGTTTAGCCCGACTGTTCACACACTAGTCAAAACCAGTTTGTGAGTGTTTGTGACCTGCACTCCAGCGTCTGTAATAAAAATAGTATTCGCTAACACTACACCGTAACCACACGTGAGAAAATGATCATTTACCCAGAAGATTATGGCTGCTTGTGGTGTAGTAACATCCAGGTAATTATTGTCCTTCTAATTAGCCATTATGGTGTTGAGACAGCAGAAGGTTGTGTGAATGGGGAGCTGGTTTCCTCTGTGCAAACCGCTGATAAACACAGGAACAGCGCGACTGCTCTCAGGAAGGATACGATGTCTTTGAAGTCCAGGTGGGGGAACCTCTTCTTCAGCTGAGCAGCTCGGCGCAGCGAGCTGGTGCCAATCACACTGCACAAACGAAGTCCAGTGTGTTAGCCGTGAGGAAAGTGTAAGCAGATATAAGAATGCATCGATCAGGTCCCTCTGACTGCACCTGTTCTCTGGCAGCGTGTCCAGAGTCTTCCCAGCATGGCTCGGATGGAGGACCACTGCATCGTGGGGGTTTTCTCTCCTGTAAGACGCACAGATCACAACCACAAATGCTGCAACGATCTATGACCCCAAGCATTATTTGACTTATTGTCCCAACAAAGGACGAGCTGGTGCTCCGCACACTGCGTGGCACCTTTGGTACACCTAATCCTCGAAATAACTTGTTTTTCATCGATTTTAAACTGGCACAGTGTAACTGCACACACTACACCAGGGGTGCCCAGTCCCCGAGAGTTACTGTCCTGCAGCTTTGAGATGCATCTTTGTTCTGACACACCTCAATCAAATGAATGGCTTGTTATCAGGCCTTTGCCACACTTGATGGCATGCTAAAGAGGTAATCAAACCATTTGATTCGGCTGTGCTGGAGTAGGGACGCATCTAAAAGCTGCAGGACAGTAGCTCTCGAAGACTGGGACTGGGCCCCTTCATCCTGTAAATCAAAAGCATGAAGTGGAGCCCCGGAGTCATAAAAGGTTATCTAAGAGCAGAACGTATTCGATTACCCGTGTGAAGACCTCGAGGTGCCGGGTGCACTGAAATTGTCCTGAAAAGAGTAAATGCATCCAAAGTAACTGTAAGAGTCAGAAGTGTGTGAGTGACTCACTTCAGCACAGCTCCGATGGTGAACCCCGGAGGCAGAGTGGTGGGAAGGTCTTTGAGGGAGTGAACAACCAGGTCGACCCTGAAGCACACACAGGATATGCACTCGCATGTATGAGCTCCACAATGCAGCCATTTACGCAGCAACCAGAGCCCACCTGCTACATCTGAGGCTCTGCATGCACTTCACATGCTCCTGTGGACTAACACCACACAGCTTTTCTGTATTTTCTGTTGCAAAACTCTTGAAACTAGCAGGTTCCTATACTGGTATTAGGCTGCTTCTTCTTTTAACCATTAAAATGTGCACATTTTACAGGCTGCTGAGTAACTATTCGAGCTGAGCGCTTCTGAAGAAGAGAAAATAGGAAGGACGTGTGAAGCAGTGTCAGAGGTCACACTTACTCATTCCTCTCCAGTGCATTCTCCAGCTCTTTGGTGAACAAGCTCTTCTCACCAATCTGCAGGAGACAGATTCCCATTAACTGCTTCACATTTATCAAGAACCTCCATGCAGCGTTTGGTCTGCACTGTTGCTCATGAAGCAGTGAGCTCATGTCAGCGCTGACAAGACTGTGTAGGTGGCAGCAGTCATGTCCGTTACACTTCCTGGAAGCCTTACCTTTGACAAAGCAGTATCGAGGATTTTGTCTCCTGTTGTTGACATGGCAACTGGAACACAAAAGATTAGATCATGAGACGAGCCGACAGTAACGCATGCTGCACTTTTCCCACCCTATCAGACAGAGCAGTGAACGCACCGTCTAAGGCAACGGACTGGAAACTAGTAACAAATGTAAAGACACAAAATGTTGCCATTAATCCTGTTTGTCTACACAATGGTGCTGTTGGTAATTTAGCTTCTAGGAACAAGTTTCAAATCCTCAAATTTGAGAACTTTTTTCTGAGCATCAAAAACCTGAAAAATACTGGCTCTCCCTCCTGAGAGGGATCCCTGTGAGCACTGAGCAGCAGGCATTTATGCAATATTTGGACATCATGTAAAGCCATTTTGTTCCTGCTGAACAGCTTTAATGCTGACTTCTTGCAGTGGGAGGGTGGACGACAACAGAAAAAGTAGAGTTGCTGAATTTGGTAGCAGACTTACAGGTGGTGGTATCGATTAAATGTGCAGATCCATATAAAGACTGCTGCATCCGTTTTGTGTTGGTTCAGAAAAAGAAAAAACCCAGGAGAAAGTACTGAACATGAAAGTGGGCTGACTGTCTGCAAACACTGAAATACTTTTTAACGTTTTAGTTACTGTTTTCTAAAAAGTTACCATTCCTCTTTATTCCTTTTTATTTTAATCAGACTTAAAAAAGAAGAATAAAACTGGCATTTTAAACATGGTAATATTCTGGGCCAATCAAAATCGCTATCAGTGCACGCCGCCTTTTAACAGGACGATATATTCAAAATCACTGCTTGTTCTATGTAATATGATGGATTTACTTTTTTCAATAATTCCTGGTTTTTAGTTTCCATCTGTGGCTAAAAGCGCAGGAACAGTCTAACTGGACTGCTGCTCGCGTTCAGGTTCAGTGACGTTTTCTGGAAACACACGAGGTCACCAGCTGCTTTGAACAAAGACACAAACTTCAGTGTGTTCAGTGCGGTGAGGATGGAGTGACAGCGTGGACAGATTCAGACTCAACTTTAAGACTTAAGCTGTAAGAACATGTGTGTAATCCATTCACTCTGAACAGAAACATGGAGACAGAGCAGAAACGCTGCACAGACAGAGGGGCTGCCTTCTTACCGATTTCTAAGTGGATGTCAGGGTACAGCTCTTTCAACGTCTCGGCCACGCTGTCCGTCTGGATGCGAGCCAGCTGCAACAGAAGATCACTTCATGTCAGCTTTCACACGTATTAAATCAGCAGAACAGAGCAGATGACAGACAGTTATCATAAAAACACACTCGTCAGGCAGGATTGTTTTATCTCTGTGGAAAGGAGGTCCAGACGGCTTTCAAATCAGATAATTCACAACCGACACTCGGGATCTGTAAGTTCAGCTTTACATTAGAGTCAAACCTGCCTGAATTTGAAGCTCCTGATTGGATAATAATGTAATACTCACCTGGCTCTTGCGGGTTCCCACTCGAATGACTCGGCTAACTTTGCCGTTTCCATCCTGCCGGAACATAAAACCAGATCAGCCACAAGATTTTACAAACACTCGCTCGTATTCCTCATATGTTCAATCAGCACAACAGTTACACTTTCTGACTTAAAATACGAATGAATGATCCCTCTCTGCTGGCCTCACCCTGATGTACTTGTAAGGTCCTTCCTCCATGATCCACACTGAGCTTCTGCACTGTAGAGGCTATTGTGTGCTGTGTGTCTGGGACTGACTGCTGCGTCCTGGTAAGGAGCTTTGCTGAGGTCATATAGCCTCTTGATACTAAACAGTGTCCTTTCTTACTGGACCCAGCTGACTCCTCCCCCACTAAGGACCTCCACCTCTAGTTTCTCTGGTTCCCACAGATAAGTGTGTCTTTTCAATGAGTCCGTTACAAAAGGCAGTTTAGGAGGGTCCTGGTTACAGGGTGTGGTCACAGGGAAGAGTGTGAGTGGAAACGTTCCTCTTCAAACAGAAATATCCAGATAACACTGCTGGCTGTTTTTAATCAGGGACACACAAGGCTGAAATAAATGCAAAGATGCAAACACTGCTCAGAGTAAAGACTGATCTAAGCGTGTCACTGGAAGTCTTTATTTCCTTGTGATCCTGGTCAGACTTTAATAGCAGTGGCCGAGTAAAACAAAGTAATACTTACGGGAGTATTTCCGTATTTGCTAATATGCTGTAGTTTAAAACTAAAAATGTTGTTTAATAAAAATAAATGATAATCTTCAACAGCACACCAGATGTTTGATTTGACTGTTTGTTTTTGACTAGATGACTTATTATACACGTTTTAATTATTAATGAAAATAACTGATAATTCACTCATTTCTGTGCGCGCTACATGCAGATTACATCGTTAAATTATTATTCTTACTATGAAATCTGAATTATTTGTAACATTTTCTTTTTTACTCATTTATTTTTCACCTGACCCGTGCACGTCTCAGACATAACCCTGGGTATTACGAAGGGTAAAACAAAGACTGAATTTCCAGCCGTCTGTCCGAAAACTGACTGGTGTCAAGCCAGCCTCCAATTCGAGACTTGCAGTCAAGCCAGCCTCCAGTTTGTTTTACGTTCCCTGTGTATTCAAAGTATAACGGGAATGGATGTGGAAACCGGATTTCAAAATAAAAGCCAACTTCGAGTGAATTAACAGATATGTTAAGAACATAATAACGTATAATTTAGGCTTCTTTTTTTTTTTTTTTTACAAACTCTAATTTTAGATCTATATGACACAGCCTTGTACCCTAATTGTGCCCTGTCACTATCAAGGCCATCTTATTTTGGATTTCAAAATAAAAGCCAACTTCGAGTGAATTAACAGATATGTTAAGAACATAATAACGTATAATTTAGGCTTCTTTTTTTTTTTACAAACTCTAATGTTACATCTATATGACACAGCCTTGTACCCTAATTGTGCCCTGTCACTATCAAGGCCATCTTATTTTGGATTTCAAAGTAAAAGCCCTGTGAATCTTCATTTTTGAACTACTCTTTCAATGAATTCATAATGCTCTTAAAAGCAAAAGTCGTATTTCCAAATACTATTTGAACTTTATATCAACACTTTCCAACCACAGTCTTTTTCAGAGTAATACCATATCAATATCAAGTCAGTCTGATTTTGCCTTTCATAGTAATGGCCCTTTGAAATTGTCGATATTTGACTTAATCTTCTAACGATTCAAAATGGTCTGAAATGAAAAATTCCTGTTTCCACAGGGTAATTCCACCTTAGATCAACAGTATACAGCCCCACAGTGATACCATATCAATATCAAGTCATTCTGATTATGCTTTCAAAAATAAAAGCCCTTTCAAATTGTCCATAATTGACCTAACTTTCAGTGATTTCAAACTGCTCTAAAATGGAAAATTCCTGTTTTCACAGAGTAATTCCACCTTAGATCGACAGTATACAACCCCACAGTGATACCATATCAATTTCAAGTCATTCTGATTTTGCTTTCCAAAATAAAAGCCTTTTCAAATTGCCCGTATACGACCTACTCTTCTAACGATTTCAAAACCCTCTAAAAAGGAAGATTTCAGTTTCCACAGGGTAATTCCACTTTAGATCAACAGTATACAACCTCACGATGTTACCATGTCAATTTCAAGTCATTCTGATTTTGCCTTCCAAAATAAAAGCCTTTTCAAATTGCCCGTAGACGACCTACTCTCTTAACGATTTCAAAATGCTCTTAAATTGAAAGATGTCGTTTTGCATTTCAGAGTAAAAGCCTTTTGACTTTGTTTATAGGAGCTCTAGTGCATATGATCACAAAGTTAAAATTTGAATATAGAGAAAACAGAGTTGGTTCGACAGAAAACACAACTTTGTCAGGTTGGGGAACAGCATTTCTGGAACATTACTGAGCAGCATGGGGGCTCTAGAGGGATTGTCCTGGCTCCACTTTTTTCATATTGTATACAGCAGACTTCAAATATATATCTTTAGTTTTGCCAAATCCAGAAATACTCAGGTGACACTGCAATTGTAACGTGTCTCAGGAATGGGCAGGAATCTAAAGACTAGGAGACCTTTTCTTGCCTTGAGCAACTGGATTCAGATAATTATATGCAGGCTTTTCAATTCTCATACAAATGGCAGATGAGCTTGGAATTTTTGTCTGTGATCAGAAAAATTATTCTAATTATTGTTTTTGTACGAAAGGCATTGTCTGGCACCTCTGGTTTTTTTATAAAAACTGTTCCAAACTCCACTGTTAGATTATATGCAATGATATGTGTTGGCACAAACTGGTATTAATTCATAGAAGCTGGAACTTTCCATTTAATGCCATTCTGAAGTTGTGGAAAGAGAAGCTCCTATAAACAAAGTCAAAAGGCTTTTACTCTGAAATGCAAAACGAGACTGATTTGAGATTGAGATGTTACCACTGTAGAGGTTGTGTATGGTTTGCATGAACTCCAGTTACTTAGTGGAAACAGTAATTGTCCTGTTAACAGCAT